CTTCCTCAATTGCCACCTTTGTCACCTGTGGTATGGTTGGAGACAATTTATGTAGCAAAAATTAGATTTTGCTTCTGCACTGTCAGCAAACTTCCACAGCTTTACTCCGCCCATCGGCTCCCTGGCGCCTTCTGTGATGCGTCTGCCAAATGCTCAACCCGTGTCGCCCCTGCTCCATATTCCTTAACACGGCGGTATCGGGGGAGCCCATGCCGACGGGCTATCCTTCATGTGGACGACGCGTGGGCAGCCAACGCTTGCAACAGGTGCCACCCGATGAGGCCTGATCCCCCCGTTCTTTGTGCCTGAGCAAGAGTGGGAGTGGGAGAGGCCGCAGGGGTCACACTGACCCAAGAGCAGGGCGCAGCATACCCACCGTCTGACTGGAGGTTCAAACGTCAAAACAAGGCTGGTACCAATTTAAGCTGAACCATTTTTCTTTTCTGACACCAAGGGAGTAGAGAAATAATAAATGGGTGAATGTTGGAGCACCTCTAACGTTTTGCTGAAGTCAAACAGAATAAGCAACCGACAAAAGGCTAAAACTGTGGATGTGCCCTTACTGAAATCAAATTAAAATAAAAATGAATGATGGTTAATTAAGACAAGTGGACAATTGGAGTTATTTGAAAAGTGGAAAATAAAGATTTTCTTCATTTTCTTCTAAATATTAAATTAAAATCACAATTACAAAAGCAGGTCATTTGAATGAAAACCCTATAAGCTTTTATTTTTTGAATCTTCCTTGCAAAAAAACAAAAAAATAAATAAAAAGAATGAAATGTAGGTGAAAAAAAATAAAACTCCAGCTTGTTTCCACCTTTCATCTGAGCTGGCGCCTATAAAAAATGACTAACTTTTGTTGATGTATGAATCGGCGGGGAGTCTATTTATCAGCGGGCCCTCTGCGGTCGCCCGCTTGGGTCCCTCAAGCCACAAGCCGCGTCGCTCCCCTTTGACTGATTAATTAGCCAATCAGAGGACATTTTTCACTGGGCGGCAGAATGGTTTATTTCAGCTAATGCCGGGCTTTCGAGCCCAGGCCCGTTGGAGCCTCGTCGGCTCTTTCGGACTGCCTGAGTGGCTGGGCAGAGGGGCGAGGGAGATAAATCAAGCTGGGCTGGCCCTCCATGTGGCTCCCTTAACTAAACCCCCTGAGGAGGGCACGAAGAGCAGGGGTGGTGGAGAAAGGGGGAAGGAGGAGAGCAGGACAGCCAGGGGCACTGCTCGCCCGCCGATAAGCGCGGGGAGCACGGGGGTGCCAATGTCCCTGCATTTAAAAATGGCCAGGGCTTTTTGATATCTCGGCAGTGAGAGCCTGTCATTTGTCATGTGGTGAGTAATTGTGTTGAGGAGCTCAAGAGGAGGCAGGAGACGGAAGAGGTTCGTGTGTATAGGATAGATGATGGATAACAGAGAGCCAGGTAGATGGACAGGTGCTATACCCCAACCCACATCGTAAATAATGACTGCAACCTTACATTTTTAGGTGGCTAGACAATAAAAAGAGAAGCTGTGGGTGAAACGGTGGCCTGTGATTTATCTTGCTAAGTTAGTCACTTGTATATGGCAAATAGCTTTCCCCCAGTAAAACAAAGCTGAATGTCTACAATAAATAAGTATGATAAAAATACTTAAAATCTAATTTTTTTGGGAAAGTAACTCATCCATTTTGCAGTGGAATGCAAAAGTATTCCCCCTTTCCCCCCCCCCCCCCCCCCCCTTTCCTTTTTTTATTTTACATTTCGTTTTAGATTAGATCATAACCACAAATTCTAATGCATATCATTGGATTTTTGTGATCAACCTAATTGATGTAATATTCTGAAGTGAAAGGAAGACGATAAATGAAATGTTTTTAAATAATAAAAATCACCTTTTGGTCTTTTGGAGTATGTCTCCAACAGCTTTGTAAACTACAGACTTATATTTCAAACTCAGGGAGATTGTATGAAAATATATTTTCAGCTCTTCTTTGAAATCTTGACCGAGATTCAAGCAAACATGCTTGAATCCAAAACATTAAATTGCACCTCTGCCAGTACATTTGACATAGACTCATTTGACCATAATAGGGCTGAAACAATTAATCATATTAATAATTAAATAACTGTCAGCTAATTTTGTAAATAAATAATTAACTGGAGTATATATATATATATACTCTAAAAACATGTTTTCTTTCCTTCACTCTATCACTGTACTCTTAAAAGATTTGCAGATCTTCTAGAGTTATCATGGGTTTCCCTGATTAGTGTCTGTTTAGGATTCTTGGTAGGTCAGTGGTTGTGCCACACTATTTTTGGATAACTGTTCAGACTGTGTTCCAAAAAGATGTTCAAAGTTTGAGACATAGCTCCACAACTTTACCCCTCACATATTTGGTGTCAGGGTTAAAGCATCAACCAGTCAAAGTGTATTTAGTTGAATGGCTCAAAGGTTAATTATTAATTTCAGATAGTAATTCAGGTGTGGTGTAATGCCATAATTGTTAAGCGACAGCAGCTACACAAAAAATGTTTGCATGCTCTCATATCCAGTGTTGCCTTTGATGAACAGAAACCTGCGTGTCGAGTGTGTGCGTGCACTTGTCTGTTTCGTGGAGCGTTGCGCACAGCGATAAGGGACGAGCAGGAAACATCACTGTGGAGGAAGGAAAACACCCGCTGTGGGGGGGACTGGTGGAAGGGATGCTGGAGAGACAGCCGTGGGTGGTGGTTGAAGAGGTGGAAGATTCATGAGGGGGAAAAGGGCAAGCCTGGAGAAGTCCATGAAGCTTCAGACGAGCTTCATCAAGATGGACATTTGTGTAATACCGTAATCAAACACACCAAAACTCCCATATCTGTATCGGTATAAAGTTTTGGAGCAGTGAAATTATTCAATATAGACACTGTGTAACATGTCAAATGTCTGATTTAAGACGAGTGTGAGACAAAGGTTCATTCCAGTGTCACAGACAGATTCATAGGATATCAGGCAAAACGCCTAGATCCTGATTGGTCAATCACAGTTCTTATTTATTCCCTGCAACCTCAGATGTTGCTGGGCTTTAACACAGGGCTCGTGGGAAACCATTGTAATTGTTGCTGGTGCTTTCAATGTGGTCAATGGTGTCCCACCTGGCTGAAAAATAAGAACCCATAACCAAACGATTAGGGGAAAAACTGATGGTGTGTATTGCTTGCATTTCCAATGTTAATCAGCCAGGGAGCATCTCCTATTGTCATGTTATGGCAGAGCACCTGCAGGGGAATAGAGGAAGGGTTTTTGTGTACAATTTATGGATTTTCAAGATGCCAATTTCTTCAAGCCCAGTGCTTGAAATAAACAAAGGAATCCATTAAAAGGTTTTTTTTTTGTGTATTGCTGTCCAAAAGGTAGGTATTTCACCGTCTGACTGGCTTTCTGTACTGGGTCGATTAAACTTGGGGAAGCAAAACTGGTTTGTGACATGAAAATATATTAATTCATTACAACACAATGGATGAAAATGCTTATTTCACCATAAAATACAAATGTAAAAGTGGCGCAATAATTGTTAGTTTTAATTCCTCTGGCTGCAAAGTAAAGTTTTATCTTGTGTGTGTTCTCATTATAAAGCTGTTTTAAAAACTATTCCATCCAAAGACACAGATATTGGTAATTTACCCACAATAGCTCTTAGTAACATGAGTAAGAATAATTAAAAAAAAATAGTTAATATTTTAAATATAATAAATGCAGGTTTTAGCAGTTTCTGTAATGGAATAATTGCTTCTCTCCACACAGAGAGGGGGGAAGAAGAATTGTAGTTAAAGTCTGCATCAAAAACTGTGGCTGTCCTGACAAGTGATAGATGGAGGAAGCAATTAAAACTGTGTTGCTGGTTTAGGGTGTGGAATCCATACATGACAGGACGTTGTAGGCTAGTATATAAAAAGACGTCTATATTGAAAATAATTGTCTATTGTTCCCATGTAATCTACTTTTTAGAAAATCAAAAATCTGGGTTATCTTTAGCGACTAAATAATCATAAAAGCTAGGAGAAACACGTAAAATATGTGTGTGTAAATGAACCTACAGGTTTTACCTTTTATTACCTTTTACCAATACATTAACTTTTTAGAAACCTAATTTATCATGGTCCATCTGTAAATTAGGTAATGTGAATTTATGAAAGCAAATATAAGCCTAAAATGTATCATAACTCCTGCAAGTTATCTACAGGAAGATCTCATGCATTTTTTTGTTTTTATTTACAAAGGTAAATAAACTGAAAGCTGGACCCGCCTGACCTTGTAAGTTTCAAAACCATTAGACTATTACCTTAGCGTCAAATGGCAAAGTGACCTCTGAAGGGGCCAACCACTGATGGCAAGAGCAAAAAAAGAACTTTTTGTAAGCATCATCACTTTAGATTTTTGCAAACCTCAACACAATTTGGGTTTTTACTTTAATAAACCCTTCTGGCAGGCAGAACCACCTGATGTGATGGTCTGAGACAGAAGTAGAAAAGGGGGGGAGTGTGAAGGAGGGGACGAAGAGGTAAGAGTGAAAATCTCTTAACTGGATTTAAGTGCTCTTGCCACCATCAGTGGCCCTTTGGCAGCGTTAAAGCTGTTCGCTGCGACATGGCTAATCTTCAGCCAGAGGCAGGTCGGGAGCTGGGACCTGCAAAACCTCAGGGATCACACTGTACCAGAGTAAATGTTGAGGACATCACAACTGATGGTCACCAGCAATTACTGAGACTGATAAGCCTGAGCCACCTGGCTAGAGGTATGCTGTCTTCCTCCTGAGTCCTGACTTTGATTAGGCTTAGAAAGATCATGGATCAGCCTGCTCTGTTCAGATGACAGGTTTTTTTTTTTTTCAGCATAAGCAAAGTAATTAATTAGTAACATTAACTGAGAAGACTTTGAGAAATGCTCAATGATATTTGAAGCAAGAAATCCTGAGTTCAGCCAAAAAATAAAAGTTTTTCTACTTACTCACACAACAAAGCTCAATAGCTTACCTGTTCTTGGTCTTTGGTAGACTTGGTCCTCTTCCCAAAGATGCAGTTAAGGTCTGTTTCACTACGGGAAGATAAGTCCTTGCCTAAAGTAAAACAAGAAAGTAAAACGTTGGACTCAACATCAGCATTTATTAGCAAATTTTATTTGATATATCAAAAACAAACCAACAGATTGAAAAGACTAAAGAACATCTGACACACTTTGTGTGTGTGTGTGTGTGTGTGTGTGTGTGTGTGTGTGTGTGTGCTTAAGATGTGGTAGCTGGGTAAAGAAAAGAGGAGTTGTGCAAGGTCCAATTATGCAGCAGGGATAAAACAGCAAAGAAAAATAAACTGACGACAAGGTCCGCCAAGTCTCCGGATTCCCGTTCTCAAGACTGGGCCTCAAAGGCTCCTGAAGCATGCAGTCGTCTGTCTCGATCCTGGGTCCTGTTCAAACAGCTGCATCCTCTTCCTTCAGCGGGACTCTGATAACATTTGGTTATTTATTGCTTTTAAGACCCTATCTCCCCTGCTTTTGACTTTGAAAGTCACAGCACAGGGCACACTTAAGAGGTAAAAACCAAGAAAGTATGCTGAAAACTAAAACAAATGGGATGGAGGTCATTTGGTGTTTGTCACCTACTGGACTTGGGTCAGACGTAAAAATTGTACTGGATCTGATTTTCTCACTGCTTGGAAAAGGGAGCACACGTATACATTTCCTGGTTTTCAGGTGAACGGGCAAAGAGTTGTTTAAAATGGCAGAAATCATCAGATCAAATAACTGGTCAAACAAGATTTACAATGCACTAACTGAAATGCAAATCTGACATCAAATTACTGAGTGCCAAGACTAAAGTAAACATAGTCCCATTTTCTGAAACAGCTCTTAGTTTTGTTGTACTAAACTTATAAAGAACTTAGTTTTAACCTATTTCTCTGTTGCAAGCATGCTTCTTGTTGCGAAGGAAGTTTATTTCTTTGCAAATGATCTCACATCTGTAAGGAAAATGCATCAACAGAGTTGACTATCTGGCCACAATAAACTATCCAGTCTTTCCTGCCAACAGCTTAGTCAGCAACTGTTTGTAATGTGGTCGTGTTTATTAGCTTGGATTATTAAAGTTTGAAGAACCAAGACTTATTGGCAATTAACAATTCATTTATGTAATAAACAGGGACCTTAGTAGTACCCCATACAACCACAACAGCCTAGCACCTCCTGGTAACCAACTTGGTTACACAATGCTGTGGGATGGCATCCTATTCCTCAGGATCTTTTCAACCCAGCCAATTCAGTGGGGTTGAGGTCAGGATTGCTGGCAGTTTTCAGTCTCTCTACTTTCAAACTGTATTTATTTGCATTGACATCTTGGTCTGTTTCCAAAGAGTGGAGATGTGGGTTGGACACTAGCTGCTGAATGTCATCTTGAAATCTCTGCACTACCAACGATGATGGCAAAAGCCTGTTTTTCCAGTCGGGAAGATGATGTTTGTTATTTGCAAAAAAAAAAAAAAGAAAGAAAGAAACTTGGCACGTTTTTCATGGGGGCAACCCACATACTAAACTTAACACACTGTTCAACCCACAAATTCATTTTCCTTGCAATGTGGCGTAATTTAAATGGAAATAAACAGACTTTTAAAAAGCATAATATTTATTGCCAAGTATCTCTACAATAATAAAAAAACAATACATTTTTTGTGTGATTTTTAAATAGTCAAGATCTGTTAAAAACAACAAAAAAGGATACTCTTTAAAAACCCAAAAGCAGCAATGAAGCCACCACACAGAGAGGGGGGATAAAGAACAGTAGTTAAATTCTGCATCAACCACCCTGGCTGTCCTGACAAGTGATAGATGGAGGCAGCAATTAAAACTGGGTTACTGGTTTATGCTGTGGAGCCTGGACCAAAGCAGTGGAGATTTCGGTGCCTTTCCCCGCAAACAAAGGCCATCAATCCTCAGAGTTGGCAAAGAGCGAACCACCATAAACGAGATATCAATAGAAAAAATAAGCAGGACAGTAAACAGAGGGCCTGAACTGAGAGGGAGAGGAAGGAAGCCTACTGCTACTTGAGCTACAACATTTTAACTGAAAGTTATAAACTAACAAGTCATGATGCAACATGAATTTATAGCATCATCTACTAAACTGGCTGACCTCTTTTACAATCAAAAACTATCAGAGTATTACCTGACCTTACCAGCCACTCATATAACAAGCTTAACAACAGTAAATCTATTAGCAAGCCTTTGCTTGGCAACAACCTCACAGAAAGGGGAGTTGGCGTTGGAGAGGTCTGTAGAAGCATGCAAAGAGGCGTGGCGGATTACATGTTACCCTGCAGCTCTCTTTAGGTGATTACAAATTGCTACTGGCAACTATAGTGGCAGTCCACCTCCACTTAGGGAGATAATTATTATTTTTTTTATTTTTACTGTGGCTGATACCTAGGGGAACACAAATATGACCTCTTATTGACAACACATATGGTCTAAGAAGTAAGCGCTCAAATTTCCAATCTAATCTTTGAGACTTTCTTGTTGCTTGGAAAGAATTCAGCCCTTTCTGACAATGGACAGTGTCACATTGTAAATGACAGTTAAATTATTAAGACTGGTGCCAAATCTGTCGACGCCTTAAATGGCTGATTGGCAGTGTAAACATTCCTGCATGCAGTAACTCCTAATCTGTTCCTTAGAGTCATCACTAAAAAAAGAACAAAAGTACTTCTCCAAACGACAAAAACATTGCTTGAAAAAAAAAAGGAGATTGGATCACCTCATGCATGAGAAATTATTTGATGGCACAAAGGAGTAAGCGCTAAAGCCCTTGCAAAGATGGAAAACCAGGGATCAATCCCCCTTTCACATTTCCTTGTGAGCACTACCCAACTTCAGTTCATTTGTTAGTTTTTCTACATAAAACAGGCTACTTAAATACAAATCTCTAATGGTGAACACAAAAGAAAAATTTGCCCCTCAATTTCTGCTCAACACTTTCCTCGTTAATTGCCATCACAACAATACCTGCTCTACCTCTCTGAGAGCTTCAGTATCTTAGTCACGAAAGTTTGTGTTGGATGTGGACACTTGGCTAATAAGGCAGGAAACCTAAGATACATGCTTTACTTACTCGCCTGCTTTCATACATATGTGAATTTGAGTGACATCCAAATCTTAATCCATGTGGTCTATGGTCTGATATCAGCCATCTTTGAAGTTATAGCAACTTCAATTATTCTGGGAAAGCTTTCCATAAGTTTTAGGAATTTGTTTAAGGAGATATTTGGCCAGTATTTCTTGTGTGAGCCCAGGCTAGAGAGCCTGGCTAAAAGGCTGCAATCTTGAAAACTTGTTTCATCAGGCTGAGGTCAGGTCTGTGCAAGCAGCAACTTCTATTCCCCTCTTTTGTAACCTGGCCCGTCGTTTTGTGGCCAATTTGTTGACATTGTCATTTGCTGCCACTTTAAAAAAAATGGAACTACAAGTGCAAAATGAAATTTTAAATGGCAAAAAATTGCACTACTGGTATTAATGCACAGGTTGCATCCTATTATACAATCCAGGTCATTACTGAGATCCTGACCGCAACCCATTATTTACAAATGTCTGTAAAATAATCTACATGCCTGGTGCTTGATTCATACAACTGTAGTCATAAATCTGGTTGGAATACCATTCAAAGATGAATAAGCAAACTATTCTGGGAACATTGAATATACTAGCCAACCAAATATTGCAACTGTACTAGAACTGTTATAATTGTATTTCAATGTATTGTGCACCTGTACATTTTAATACATTTTATAATTTACATTCAAAGTTTGTATTTTTATCCTTGTCTGGCTTAAACCCAAGATAAAAAAATGAACTGTGAAAGTTGACTGTTCAACTAAATAATTTCACATCTAAACACAAGTTCTCTATTGTGTGAACTATTAGTGACCATCACACAGCATTTTTTTAACGCAGCTAAAAAACATATCAAACAACAGGCCTTAAGTTGTAAGTGTCCCTAATATTTTTATAGAGGTGAATAAAAACTACTGAAATCATGTAACATGAATCTGCTTAGTTCACATAAAAATGATCGAGCAATTATGTAATATAAGGTGTGACAGGCCAAGTCTTTAAATTTGTTGGAATAACATTTTCCAATCATCTCAGTTGGCCCTGAAAGCAATTATCCAAAAATGAATAGTGAGTGGACATGCAGAAGCAGAACAATGTATGCATTATGCTTCATGAATGATAATTAGAAATATTAGTTAGACGCTGCCATGAATGCACCTGGAGTTGGCAAAGAGAAACATACTCACCCCAAGTCACATTAGGTAATGATACAATTGTGAGTCAGAATGAGCTTAACCTGGCTAAAACTTCGCAATTAAAAAATGGCAGCAGAATATAAATGTTGGAAGAAATTAAAGAAACAAGCACATTAAAACAGTCAGATCGTCATGCTCAAGTGTGCACCTTTTTCTGACTTGCTTCACACTCGCAACATAAAAACAAGCTGAGAGTGGGGGAGAGACAGAGGCCAGGTCCTATCAGGCAGGGTCATCTAATGGGTCAGAGGAGTGCTGTTTCTGCTGGGGGGGAGTAAATGCAGATACCAGATGCTCCAAACAGGAAACAGGAAGTTGCTTTTGAATGACGTAAAATATTAAAGGTTCTTCCAGGTGAAGCAAAAACTGAGATGTTTGTTTTGTCAAGTGTTCAGATCTGATGAGGCAGATTTGAACTCAGTGACTCACTATTATATATAGTACACGATTAAAAACATTTTAAGTAGTGCAAGTAAGTAAGTCCAAAGACAAAAAAAAATAAAAATTGTTATATTTTTTCGTTTTAGGATGGCAGATCGTTGATGTAACTCTAAATGCCCCCATTCAAAGTGTAAAGTGTATGATGGACTCTAGGTCATTATTTACCATGCAAATTCCACTAATCAATCATGTAAACATGATACTATGCAGCTTAATCTGATAGTTTTCTGCTTTACCTTCAAGTGGTTCTGAACACACATCGTTCTGCGAGTCTATCAGTGTACCGACCTTGACCAGCAAATCTTAACTTCCTGACGTGTAAAGGGTAATGAAAGGAGTGGGAAGGCCTATAAATAACCTCCCAAAGCACTCACTGGGTCAACTGACCCAGCAGATACCGACCGGACTCTGATCAGCGTCTGTGGTCTGAGACGACAGCATAAGTTTTAATAAGAGGTCAAGTGTACACTGCAGGGGGGCTCTGGCAAAAAACCATGAAAGCAGCAGCACCATTCCGAATCAGCTACTGGTATGAAGTCTTGCTTTAAATATGTAAGAAGGAATGTCAGAGTGTGGCTTTCAGATACAGATTGGTTAAGACGAGTTAAAACTGTTTAAAGTTGGAAAAACACAGCTGGTTAAAAGGAAGATACTCACCTTTTGTGAATTTTGTGTAATGAACCCTCTTTTTAGAAGTCTTTGATTTTTCTTCCAGACTGAAGCTCTTCATCTCATCTGGAGGAACTTCTACAGATATCAAAACAAAAACTATGTTATGCAAATCAACCCACTACAAAATGAATAAATCAACAAGTGAGAAGTTATTTTATATCTGTCTGATTTCTAGCATAGTGCTACTAATGTTGAAAACATGATGAGTGAGGACATAAATCCTTGAACTTTATAAAATGTTGCTGTGTAGCACCCTCTGCTGTTTAAAAAGCTACTAAAGATGCATCTAAGGTCCTGTATGCACAACTTAAATTATACCCTAGTGTATGACAGTAAATCAGATTAAATTAAGTTAAATAGGATTACCAAAATTATTTTAATTTGCTGAGCACCAGAATTATGTGTTTATTTATTTATTTATTTTTTTTTTATTTCTTCACATTCAGATGTTTACACAAAGAAATATTATCTTGCCTTTAAACAATTTCTGAAAGCCTGGGTGATGATTTAGCCTTGAGTGAGTAAACGTTCCAGATGCTGGCAACTATATTTGAGCATAAAAACCTTGGAAATATCAAGCCACCATGCCATTCAGAAAGGATTCTGAATGAATGTGAATGTGTTTCAGTGTGAAATGTGGGCATCAAAGCCAGGAAAAAGAGCAAAACACATTGAGAAAATTATGGCTGAAAGCTGGAAAGAGTTTCATTAATTAGCCTTGTACTAACATAGGCTGAAAGGCCACTCAGCAAGGATGAAGACATTACTCCAAAGGCAACAGAAGCCATATTAAACTTTGCATTCAGGGGATAAAGATGATCGTTTTATGGGACTTAACATGTGGTTTCATGACAGCAGGAAGTGCTGGACTTTAAACAACAGATAACTTCAAAAGCAAAGAACGTTATATGGACATACTTGAGACATCAGATAAGAAGTAAAAAGCCAGGAATTTACCAAACAGAAATAGTTTTAGTCGACCTCCCTAAAACAGGAACATTTTGATCAGATTTACAGCCATACAAAAAAGCACATTTGACAATATCTGCTAAATCTAAGCACATCAGTACAGTATATGTTGCACAGAAGCCACATTTTAAATCAGTAGTGTAAACCCCTTTCAATCTGAGTAACATTCCCTGTTGCATTCTCGCATACGTAGCTGCAAACCACTCAATGCAGTAGAAAGTTGAAACCACACTTACCGTTACTTGTGTTTTGACCATGGTGGTCGTTCAGCTGAGCCAGAAGCTCATTGAATTCATCCTGGTGAGCAATCCAGTTATCCTGAGAAAAAAAAAGAAGCACAGATCAATTGATTCTTGAGCTTCATACTTCTTTGAACTTACATGAAAAGATTAATAGTTTTTATTTGAGCAGGGTCAAGACATAATGCAACGTTACATTTAAAAGAAACTGTTGTCCTTTCTAGCCCTAGAATTAATACATTTTCTGATTTAAAAAAACAAATGCTTAGTACATGCAAATTTTTGTCATTTTTATTTCTACTAGAACTGACCTCATGGCTGGCATTTGCTCCGAGCCCATGTTTGTTGTTTTTAACTTTTACTTTTATGTGATCCGTTGATCCCTGCTCACTCCTCCCCAGTCCCTGAGAAGGATGACAAAAAAAAGAGAAAATACTAGTAAATGTTCCTAATTGCACAAACTTAGCATATATGTCTTTACAATTACATTGAAAGCTGTGAGACAACAATACAACTTCATTATAATAAACCTGAAACTACAATTAAGTCAAGACTTTGAGCTTTATATCAAGAAATAAACAGCATTTTAACTTTTGGTCTATGATAAAAGTATTTTCCTGTACAAAACCCATCCCAAACACAAAAGTGCACATTTAATTGTTTTACATATTCCATGTGAAGAAACCTCACTCACTTTGCCTTTGGACCAGCCCATTTGCTCCAGCATTTTCTGGCCAAATTTGCTGTCATCATTGCTCCAGGCGCTGTTCCTAGGGTCTACAGACCACTTCTGTTTCTTGCGGGCTGAACAGGGAGCAGCAGCAATGTGATTACACAACAGTCCGCCAACAAGAGCTTGCATGAAAGATGAGAACAAGCTTCCTCAGATAAGTGTATGCACAGTGTGGTGCACACAGGCTGAAGTTAACCCTGTCGTGAAGCATCACGTTTTAATTATGTTAGAGCGCAGCTGCACTGAGTCAAATGCCCTGTGGCATTTATAGAAGTGCTTCTTAAAACTGTAACACTAACCATTCATTTTGTGATTTACATGTAATCTCCATCTATCCAATCAAACAGTTTTATGTCTTAAGTGGGACTCAACATCCTGTAAGTGTGTTTTGCTTCAATGTTTTTAGCCAGGGATTGTACTAATAATGGCAATGATTTTATTCAACGATACAGCTTAATAAAAATAACAGGTGTTTGTCAACAAGCCGATAATAAGACCTAAAGGCAGCAGTTAAAACGCCTTACTGGGCTGTCATAGTTTAATATTAAAAGACAGACTGTTGCTTAGTAGAGTAAATAGTCTGTTGAAACGTTACTAAACTGAGAGGCAGAGTACAGTAGCATACACGTTTAAATCACCGACTGTAAAATGCTAATGCTAACTGGAGTACTTTTCGAAGAAAAACTGAATATTTTCTGACCAACAATTTATACAAGAGTGGAAATGGTTTCGGAAGCGACAGAAGGAATAAAGGATAGCATAAAAACAAAGAAAAAATTAATGTATCAAAATTGGGAGAAATATACGCACGCTCAGCGAGCATGGACATCCTGGGTCCTTTAACAGATGACGCAAAGGAAGGATCCCAGAAATATGCCTGAAGACAATGTTTTCCCGTTACATGCTTACGGTGCCTGAAGACACCGTAAGTATGTAACGGGTAAATAATTACCTTTTTCAAAGATACATGAGGGAACCAAGAGATCAAATCCGGTAGGTTATTCAACTTAGTTCATTTTTCAAAGTATTCAAAAAGGCTGTTGATTGTTTTCCTGTTTCATTTGTATCAACACTTACCAGCAGAGGGCGCTCCCGGCTAGAAGCTATAACAGCATGCGACCTACTTGTGCTTGGTTTCACACAAAAGAAATCCGCTAAATAATAAAACAGAGAAGATAAACTGTTCTACTCTGTTATTTACACTCAGTATAATGCAATTAATCTGTGAAGGCCTCAGATGTTTCTCGCAGAACACTAGGAAATAGCATTCAGCAGACATGGAGAGGCTTAATGCAATGGTACAGTGTATAAGGTGTCAGATAAGACCAAAATGTAACTTTTTAAAGTGTACAAATCACTATGTGTAACAGAAAACTAACATTGCATCCTCATCACGTCACCCTTGTATCAAAATATGGCAGTAGCATCATGGTGTGAGGATTTGTTAGGGCTGGGTAGACAGGTGATAGAATGAAGTATGAACAACATCTTATGAAATAAATTAATATCAGAATTCAGACAGAAAACTGTTTAGATAAATCGTTTTTTGTTTGTTTTATGTTTTTGTGTGTTTTTTTTTTTTTTACACTTTTATGGTAAAATATATATTTTTTTTTTTTATCAACAACTCCAAAATAAAATAAAATAAAAAATCACCAGCTTCACAAAAGACGTTGCACTGCTATAATTTTCTTTTTGCAACAAAATCTTTTTGTTCAGAGTAAACACCCAGACTGAATACAAAAGTCACTCTTACATAACCTGTACTCCTGTGAGACACACATAGCTCCTGTCTGTAAAGTAACAGGAGACAACTTGTACACTCACACCCTGTGGTGAGACTTGGCTATCACTTTGACCTAACATGAGACGGCTGCTGTTTAGAGTCCTAAAGTTACTTCTTGACTCTGAAAGAAAAAATTTGACATATTGCAAATTTAAAACTGCAAGATAACGCACTCTCTCCGGATACAAAATCCTACCCAAGTTGCACAGACTCCCCTTGTTGGATTAAAACAAACATGATTCCCCTCTTCTGTTGTTCTAACAGATATTATTTTCAGATCATACCGGTTCAAACTGGATTGGATTGGATTTGTGTGAAACTCTTATCTAATACAAAAACTACACCTAAACCATTTCCTGGGATTAGAGCAAAGTTACATAACACAGGCTTGACTGGTTAATGCTGCTGTGTTCACATACCAAGACTGCCAGGTGCATGGGTGTGAGGTTTAATTATTCAGATATGCAGTCATGAAGTTGCATATATTGGCAACATATCTTGTGAAGCATCACAGTCATGCCAGACTGAATGACTCAGCAGCCTGGTCACTCTAACTGTAAGTGTTACACTTTCCAGAAAAATCCCCCCCCCCCCCCCCCCCCCAACATGAATGTGTGGGGTAAGAGATAGGCATCGTTGCGATGGCGACAGGACCTCACAGGGAACATCAGCTCTTATAGTGTTCCTGTCCTTTATTTTCTCCTGCAGTAAAACATAATCTGCAGCACAATGCATAAACAAACTACCAGGCCCCACAGGGCACGAGGAGGAGCTCAGTGGGAAGCTAGACTCCAAGTATGTGTGCATACTTCTAAAAAGACGCCTTACGTAACAAAGTTTCAACAGGTTAAGCCACAAAATAAAAGAACATTTCCTTGTTTGCCATCCCTTTTCCCAGAAAACTTTGAAAGCAATTCCCAAAGGTTGACTCACATTTCCATTGAAGACGGACAAAATCTACATTTGCATGTGGGCGTAATTTCGCTTCTTTGACCACACAAACTTTAGCCAGTCAGAACAGCATGCATGCACATTATGGTACAGCCTACACACGTGAGGAATACAGTTCCTTGCAAAAGGATTTACATCCTTTGATATTGTTCAGTTTTCCTGGTGAAGTGACAGGAAACTGTTGATTTGTTTTTGATTTTTCTTTTTACATTTATTTTACATACCCAAATCATTTATTTAAAAACAGCAAAACAGTTCAAGGCTAGTCAGTTTGTATGTAAGGAGTATGTATCTGTGAGCATCAGTTTTTCAAATCTTGCCACAGATCACAAATCTTGAGTCTGGCCATTAACTGAGTCATTCTAACACACAAATGTGTTAAAGTGACTCAAGTTAACTTCAGCTCTGGCTGATTAGGGTAACTGTTCGAACCCCTGTACAAATCGCAAGACTTTTCTCAGTCTTTAACAGGTTTTTCATTTCCGTATTATCTTGTTTTTAGCTTATTATGACCAGCTTCTCTATTCATGTTGAAGAAAATAATCCCTTCAGCGTGACCTGGGTACCACAATGTTATGCTATGCTGCAGGTGTATTTGGAGTGTTAGTTGTCAGCCACAGTATTTTGTATGTTGGGCACATGACTTGAGGGAAACTGCAAGGATTAGACAACCTTCCTCCCCAAAGAAAACTACACATAAACAAGAAAATATATGGAAAATATTTATTGTTGAAATTTCTTTCGTGATTGAAAGAACTGGCAGAATTTCTCACATACACACAGAAACGAGTAATCTATTTTGCAGACACTACCTAAATATTTCTGAGCATGAATGTGACATGTGGAGTCACATTTCCCATTGTCTGTCTTTTTTTTTTTGTTTGTCAAAATAATGTCAACGCTGGTGAAAAAATATTAAATAACAAAAACTGAACAGATCATCAAATGATTTAGGGCAACAGAGCTTCCAAACATTTAACAGGGAAAGAATAAATAATAGAATATGAAAAATAAACTAATTACTGAGTAGTATCAGTTAATCATTTCCCCAGATCTTTACGCTGAGTCACTTCACATACAGTACAATCAAAGATACAGCTTGTACTCTTAAGTTTCATTCCTGGAAAAAAAAAAAAAAAAAAAAAAAAAAAAAAAGCACAATCAGCATTTTTGAAAATCATTAGAAAACGTTGCAAAATGTTGTGCAACTCCCTCCAGATGCAGGTCAATCTCCTAGTAATCGATTTCTACTGATCAAGCGGTTCAACCTGGCACAGACTCCTCACCTTTTCACTTTGTAACCTGAATGTCCAAGAAGTAAAAGGAAAAGGCGAGCAAACAAGATGTTCAACAGAAAGTTATCTTTCTCTTGTACTTCACCTTTACATTCTGTAGAGATGGTAGCCATGTAGCAGGCAAGCACAGCCCTTTACTTCTCTTTTTTGCTCAGAGAATTGAGAGAACAATTATGTACAGACCAAGTTTCTCTATTCCCCTGGGTAAAACTTTTACATTATATACAAAAATATATATATACTTTAACAGGGCTTCTCAATTGGCACGAGCCATGCACGTTTCCACACCTAAGTAGTTAAGCATTGTCTGGACCAGCTCTGGGAGATCGTAGTCGTGTTTCCATCCCCAGTCATTCCGTGCGTTGGAGTCATCAAAGTCCATGGGCCAGCTATCAGCTACAAGATAAAAAATGAAAAAAAAAAAAAAAGTAGATAAAATATAAAATTTGTTGATGAGTTTTGAACACTCTTGTTACCAAAATGACAAAAAAAAATCAATATCTGCACAAAAATTCCTAAAATATGTTAGTTTATAGATTCTTACCAATTGCCTGTCGTACTGGGTCGATGTTGTACGTGACCTCCAGTTCCGGCATCTGCTTCCTGAGCTCCTGGGCCAGCTCCTCAGGTGTGAAACTCATGGCGTTAATGTTGTATGTCCTCATGCTCAACGTGTCAGCGGGTGCCTCCAACACCTCCAGGGTGGCGCGTAGGCAGTCGTCGATGTACATCATGGGTAGCCGCGAGTCAGGCCTCAAGTTGCACTCAAACTTGCCCGTCTTGATCGCATCGTGAAAAATCTGAACTGCATAGTCTGGACAGGAACAGAATCAAATTGTTTTTTTTTTTGTTTTGTTTTTTTTCATTATTATATCAGCAGTTCTGATGTTAGATAATCTTGAAATAATAAACATGTACTAAATTAAAGTGCAAGACACTTTATTAAAAAAAAAAAAAAAAAAGCTCCAATTGCTGACAGAAAGAGTTTGGTTGCAATGGCTGTCTATTTGTGTGAAAAGAAATATGCAGACAATGATAGAGCAGCCATAAAAATACAAAAACTCTGAATTTGGCTGCCTAAGAAGTTTGCAACATGACAAGGACTAGAACACCGAAATAGAGCTCATTAAATGGGAAAGGTATTACACCAGCTGAGGTCATTATTCATCTCATGCTTCACTTCCCTATGATGTTTTAATAACATGAAGTATGTTAAACACATTTCCAAATGTCACTTTGACTGCCACCAACTAGGGTTGCTTACATGCGGTCACTAAAGTTTATCCGGTACACTGACAAAAACCAAAAAATCCTTTTATACACCCACTAGGAGACACTTTAATTTTGTCCAAAACATTAGTTTCACTACTTCGAATAATAATTGACTCATTAGTTATAGACTTTTACCACAGATTTACATGATTTTCATTCAAGAATACAAGCATGTCATCTGCATATTGATTTATTTAGCAAAACCCAGAGTATGAAGGATTTGTAACTACTACTTTTTATTATATCAATTCCACTTCTTTTAAACCCCCAAATCCAATTTAAAATGTTGACTTGTTACCACTGAAAACCATTCAAAACAAACATTGGCCCCTATGTCAGATGTGCTATTTTTTTTATTAGCCTTGTGACAACTCCACGTGTTGGTGTCACGTGTGATACACACACCTCGTTGCTTTTCCCCAACATCTTGTGACGGTAATCTGACTAGGTTGTATCTAATAACATATGCGGACCACTTTCATTACATCTCAAACATTCTCCAGCTACATTAATAGAGCAACAGGATTGTGCTGATATGCTGCCCAATGATTCTCTGGCACGTGGAATATGAATTATAGAGGAACTAAACAAGCAAATTTATGATCTAAAGATGATCACCATTCTATATTCTGCAACTCGTTGCAGAGAACTAAATATATCGCAGGTTCTTATGAAGTCTCAGAAAGAGCTTAAACCTCTTTAAGCCCCTTATAGAGCTTAAAGCTTTTTGATGAGATAAATAACAACCTTAAGGAACTCCCATAGTTAATTTTAGATTCATCATTCCTACCTGTTGTGCCACCTCCTGGCATGGAGTCTGCAGAGATGATTCCTGGGTAACGGAGGCACCGGAAGTCCAGGCCATAGCGGTGATGGTAATACTAAAAAGTCAAAGACAAGTGTATTAGAAAATGCTCACTTCAATAAGTTTAAGGTTGGTATGAGATTGCATTATAATTTGATGATAATCTGGCAACAGATATACAGAATAAAGCGCTCACCTCTCCCATTAACTCTGCATGAACTTTGGACACCCCATAGATAGTGCGAGGTCTCTGCACACACACATCTGGCGTTGGGTTACGGGGCGAAGAGGGACCAAAAGCTCCGATGGTGCTTGGGACAAACAGCCGCAAGCCATGCTCTGCAGCAATGTCCAGGATATTGTGAAGCCCTAAATAGGAAAAATTGAGAATGCCATCATTATTTGAAATGAAGCCATTTTAATTCATTCTAAAAGTATGTTTCAAGAAAGTGGAGTATGTGCATTTTCAGCTATTTGTACAATATTTAGGGTACAAATGTCCTGCTTCTAATCTTGTAGAGTTGTAGCTTATCCTCTTATCCTCATTGGGTTTGGAAAAATAAAGTTTTTAATTTTAGCCACCACGTCTAAGTTAATTTACTCACCAGTGATATTCACAGAGCGTGCCAAGGCCACGTTAGCCTCTCCGACTGCACTGAGGAGGGCGCTGTAGTGAACCAGCCAAGTGATGCGGTTGTTCACCACAATTTCTCGTAAGTTCTTGTAGTCCAGGATGTCTGAGTAGATAAAGGGACCTGATGGTGGCAGATTAATGTAAAAAGTGAGTATTACTTCAATAATTTTCAATAATTGATTACACTCAGTGATTTTCATAGAGGAGCCTTTAGGGTTTTAACATTTCTACATGTGAACATTTTAAAGAAAGCTAAAAGCCTGTTGTAATGATTGCGAAGATAACTGTTGTGAAATAAAGGACTTTCTTCAAGGTTTCAGCAATAGTCACATGCTCAATCAAGGAACTTTATGTTGAACAATGAGGTTGTCTATTGACCAAACACTGAGGAGATAACATCTCTGAAGACACTTGAAGCTTACTCACTCACCGCTGTGAAACACATTATTGGGAGGTTTCCTGATGTCAGACAGAATGACATTGTTCTTGCCAAATCTCTTCCTGCAAGGGAGTTAAGAGTTAGGAGAGATAAAATGCATTACAAACAGGTTACAGCTTATATAACACATGTAGCTAGCTGTGAAACTATTTGCAGAATTTTATTGTTAAAACAAATGAGAATTCTGACCTCAGAAGTTTGGCCAGCCCGACTCCAAGTTGCCCAAGGCCACCTGTAAATGATACAGAGTCATGTGAGGAAGTGGCACCGAAACAATGAGGTGCAGCTAATGATCTTCAGCGCCCATTTCCATGGAGATTTGAGCAACTGCAAAAGAGGGCCATAAGAAAACCCTCCTGCTGCACTTGACTTCAACTCTTTGTGCTCAACCAGAAACCGCTTCCAGCTTTATTTGCCAACAAATCCCACTGCTGTTTAAGTTCCTTCAGAGCACAGTTTGTTCGAGCTCACACATTACATTCACAAGTCTCATCTTAACTGAGGAGCAATAAAAGGAGACTGCTTTTCAGGA